TCAACGGCTTTCAAAGATTACCGGCCGATCAATCGTCTGTCGCTCAAGCGTACTCGACCCACAGAAATAATCGATCGATTCTTGATTGTACTTTTGATCTTTACGCTCTGTTTGAGGTATTTATTTTCCTTGATCTGCAATTTTCAATTATTTGTCAAGCGTTAAGTTCGTTCCACGCTTATGGAGACAGGACTGAAGATTTTATGAATGCAGTCAGCGGAAACATTAAAATTAAGAGCAATCAAGCCCTTCTTCTGCAATATAGGACAATGAATATATTACAAGCATATTAAATATGAGAGACTTCCGATGTACTGTTCAAGTTTTTGCTAAGGTAATGGAAATATTAACTGTTCATGAGTGAATTGGAACATTTCAGGTCACTTGGACGAGACACCAAAACATCAAAAAGGGCGCCAAAATTGCCAATCATTTTTTCTGGTTTTGTCTGTTTATTAGCATTAACCACCGTCCCTTTAGAGGCCTATATCATTTTTATCAATTATTTTATTTAGTTCATGTTGTAAAAAATATACCGAATCTGAAAGTTTTTTCAGCACCATCAAGGCTTCTCATTGTAATGTCTAAGTTTTCTTCTTTCTTTCTGTCAAATGAACCGCTGGTTTGAAAAATCAACTTTCTTTCCACGACAGAAACATTTTATGGCAAACTCTCCCTAAGAATAATACTGAACTTGTATGTTGTATGTGCCTTTTGTTGCCAAAACAAATACAGGTCCATGGAAGCCATTTTAAAGCTCATGAGAGAGCCAAGAAACAGTTAATGTAAGAAAGTAGTCATGATCGATATCGAATGCTTGCGCTTTTTTGGTTTAGAAAAAAACCCCTAAAAAACGACGATACGAACAGTCACGTGAACACGCAGAAACGCGATATCTGAAAAGTATAGACTGACAACTAGGTTTTATCGTTTTACTGTTGAAATAGCTAGACGCAACCGTAAGTTATATTCTAATAGTTTCTTCTCTCGTACTTCTAGACTGTGGAACAATAGTTTTCCTGTCGAATGAGATCTTCAGAAATTTAAATGCAATGTCACTTGTCATCTTCTATCTTCTTGAAACTTGTTGTTCACACTCAATCTACCATGCATATAAGTAGTATTATCACTTTGCTTGTGGTGAAATGATAAAAAAAAAAAAATTAAGAAGCTGACATAGAACTAAAAAAGCAAATGTCTTTGATAATGGCTAACAATAGCTGAAAGTCATCAGGCATTGGGCAAAATGTAATTAAACATGTAGCGGAAGCCAAGAAAATGATTCCAAATATAAGAAATAGTAAAACAATTCTTAACAGAGAACTTACATTGGTCTTTGAACAAACTTGTATAAAGGAAAAAAAATGCTATATATTATATATATAAAAAAAGGATTACTTAACTTTTAAATATCAGTTTTGCCCCGACTTCGAAGTTTCCTGGTAAGATTTCCGATCTTTAGGGTGTTCGGTTTTAAATGATATTTCCAATGCTTTTAATTTCTTTTTTTAATATTATTTTAATATTTTTAATATGGAGCACTTTATATAAAAATATATGCTGTTTCTTAAATCTATATATATATATATATATATATATATATATATATATATATATATATATGCAGCAATTTTTCCTTATTTTTCTCACCGGAAAACGACTACCTAGCAAAAAGGCGTTAGGGATTTCAGTACAAATAATTATACAAATAATTAAATAAATAGACAACGGTTTTGATATACGCCACTTCAAATTTGCCTTTCATTCTGATTTGAAAACGCCTACCTACCTTTCTAACGAAGATGAAACACGTCGTCAGTAAAAAGCTTTTACCCCATGTCTCATTTCCCTACTTTTCAATGTTCACCTTTGTATTTACATACGCTCTATCCCTGATATTGAGCACGTGGAGGTTCGCAAGTTTGAGCATTTTATGTGTATTTTTTTTAGGCGAAAGAGCATGTTCCATATGTAAAGGAAGAAAGTGTAGAACAAGGATACAGCAACTGGAGTTTTTGGAACGGACGTTTATTCCTTTTAGGTTGACTATATTGAAACAAAGTTAAATGTCCGTCTTCCTCTTTGCTTCAGAAATAATCTATGGCAAGTAAGGAGACGGACGGGTAAAGATGGTTGAGCTCAAGTCGGCTTCGCACTGAGTTGGAAAGACCGAACGTTTACTGATTAGTGATGCTAAAACACGTCCGACGATGTCGTTGGAAAGTCGGAAAAGTCCAGAGAACCGGGCAAAACGAATATTCCCCAATGGGAACGCTATTAAGGAGGAAAAAGAGAGAGATTCTGTAGTTTCCGGAAGTGGATTAATGAAATCGCACATGTGAGCAGAAACCGTTTCCAGTTTCTTTATAACTTGCATCATGGGAAAATTAATTATTTTTTTTTTATGCGGTATTATTATTTTGATTATTATTATTTATTTCATTTTCCCCACAAACATTTTTCCCCATAAATATAGCATACTCTTGTTTTAAAACTACATTTGTCTCTCTCTCTCTCTCAAACCAACATGGTCTTAAAAAAACAATTATATCCGTCCTCACACACACGCATATATATATATATATATATATATATATATATATAGAATATTTCAGTATCTGTGTTTTTGAAGATCCAGAAGAATCAATATAAACATCACAAAGTATGAAAACATCGCAAAAAGATCTTACGAAACCAACATGGTCTTAAAAAACAATTATATCCGTCCTCCGTGAACACACACACACACACACACACATATATATATATATATATATATATATATATAAATGACATATCTAAATCTACCATTCGTCCATGCTAAGAATATTTAACTGTCACGTGATCTGGTGTCCTGCTATTCACCTTGAGCTCCCTTGATAAGATCCAAAAGAAGAATCAACAATATTACTTTGGTCCTGACGCTCATCTGAAATGGACGGCTCAGCGAATATTTTCTATTTAAATTTCCATTCACAATTTATTTAATACCATAACAAACTACAAACTTTCCCTTTATAAACAAATGACGTCATATATTAATATATGACGTCAAATGGACAAGGTCCGAAAATTTATTTATTAATCCTGTCAAAGAACGAATATTTTTCTATATCAAAATTCTCGGACATTCAGGCCGGTAAATGTTATTTAATAAATGTTTTTATCATAAACAGAAACATATTTGCTTAAATAAATTGTATCTATAAAATTTGTTTAATTCCTATACGTTAAAACATAATAAAAAATGTCTTTTGCTTTAATAAATAAATTGTCGGACTTGTCCATTTCTTAATATATATATATATATATATATATATATATATAAACATAATTTAAATAAAAACACACTTTAAGGTTCCATGTAATAATTATTTCAAGGCATTTAGCCCTTTTAAAGGACTGCGGATCATCGGACCTGTCCATTTCTTAATATATGACGTCATTTGTTTACTTCCAAAGGTTGAAACAAAAATGAAAAGAAATTTACAACGGTATTTTTAGACAGGCCGTATTAAGTATATATATGTAAATTAACGAAGTGAGGAAGTGAGGGGAGAGAGAAGACATGAGTGAGTTAGATGTAATTTAAAATTTCTATTCTTTCATACTCAAAATTACTTGGGGAGGTCCAGACATTGACACATTTAAACGGTTAACTTAACGGAAGTTATATATAGATATCGAAGGGGTAGAGGAGAAAAAAACGCATAAAAAGAAAAATAGAGAAGGAAGTCATGAGAGAAGGTGTCACTAATTTTCCGGCTAGAAAAAGACGCTGTCATTTGGTTTTACATTGAAAGTGTTATTTTGGGGGTTCATAAAGATTATAATGTTTGATATAAATTTGAATGTCTAAACTGTCTACAAAGAATTTAATTTGATGTTTGGGGATTTTCTATGAAATAGTCGATTAGAAAAATATTCATAGAAAGTACATTAAAAGAATAAAATTTTATTTTAAAATATAAGTTTACTTCTAGTAATTTAAAAAAAAATTGTATTATTGATTATTAAGTTGACATCTTTATCAGTTAGAATTTTGTTCATGAATTTAACTCGTGACTGTTTCTAGATAGATAATCTCTTTTACTTAAATTTTAGTTAATATGGGGTAATATTTGAAGGTAATATTAAAGATCTTGCTCTGTCATATACTGTATACACACCCATGCAAATATCACATATACACATGTTCCTTTACATGTGCAATCACTCATACAGGTACCCATGTACCGATATACACAGGTAACTTCGTGTATTAACACCTACCTAAATATCAAAAAAAAATTCCAATTTAAATATTTTATCATCAATAATGATTATTAAAGGGTAATATATTTTAATTTAAATTAAATTATCAATTTAAAAATTTACCCCCATATTATAAAGAATTTTAAACTCACACTTCTAATTGGAGAATATTAAAGGAGAAAATGAGATAAAACATTAATAACAGACTTAGTGATCACCATCTCCGTGAAAAAATCTACATCACAATCCGTATTTGGCTACAATATGAATTTTAATTGCTGTAAAGTCGTTTTCTTCAAAATATCTGCTTTAAAACTGAGCGGACCAGATTCAGTCGGCCATGTTTATCGTCAGCCAACAATCTTCACTGCGATTAAAGTTCTTACATTTATGAACATCGTCTTAAAATTTTTGACAGTAAAGAGGACGTAAACGAAGTTACTCGTGTGCGCATAGTTTATGCACCGTCTGCATCCATATTGTCACTGTTTATTAAGAGAAGGGAATGTAAAGGCTTCCGGTTGAAGGCACCGATTCGGTTAATTTCATTTGCATTTTCCCGTAAGAAAATAGAAGGTAAATTCAAATCTCTTAAAGCCATATTATTATCCATTTTGCCCATGCGTCTTTGTTCTTAAGAAGAAGATCACGGAACATGATAAAGTGATCGCTCATGTGTTATTGCATTCACGAGGGAAATGAAATACTGAACGCTCACCAATAAGAACTACTTATTAAATGTTTAATCAAAGTGGATAGCGACAAGTATAAGTATTTACGTGAAGACCAGGCAAGCATAGATAGATAAATAAATACATAAATAGAAAGATAATGAAAAGACCCAGATAGATAGATAGATAGATAGATAGATAGATAGATAGATAGATAGATAATGAAAAGGCACAGATAGATAGATAATGAACAGACTCAAATAGATAAATAGGTAGATAGATACATCCATACATAAATAATGAAAATACTCTGATAATTAGAGAGATAAATAGATAGATAGTGAAAAGACTCCGATAGAGAGATGGGTATGTAGGTAGGTAGATAGATAGATAGGTAGATACTAAGATAAGGAAAAGACTCAGATAGATAGATAAATAGATAGATAATGAAAACACTTATATGGATAGAAAGATAATTAATAAAAAAAACTCGGTAGATAAGTAAATAGATTTTGAAAAAATTTAGATAGATAGGTAAATAGATCGATAGATGTATGCATAGATAAGGAAAAGACTCAATTAGATAGATACATAATGAAAAGACTCAGACAGATAAAAAGACTCAGATAGACAGATAGATAGATAGATAGATAGATAGATAGATAGATAGATAGATAGATAGATAATGAAAAGATTTACATAATGAAAAGTCTTATGTGGATAAAAAGAAATATAGATAATTAATAAAAAGGTTCAGATAGATAAGTAAATAAATAATGAAAAGACTCAAAGAGATTGGTAGGTAGGTAGGTAGATAGGTAAATGCTATGATAATGAACGGACTCAGATAATGAAAAGGCTCATATGGATAGATAGATAATTAATAAAAAGACTCAGTAAATAAGTAAATACATAAATAGATACATAGATCGATAGACAGATTTTGAAAAGACTCTGATATATATAGGTAGATAAATCAATAGATGTATGTATAGATAATGAAAAGACTCACATAGGTAGATAGATGCATAATGAAAAGACTCAGATAGATAGATAGATAGATAGATAGATAGATAGATAGATAGTCTCATGTGGATAGATAGAAAAATACATAATTAATAAAGACTCAGATAAGGAAATAGACAGATAATGAAAGGACCCAGGTAGGTAGATAGATCGATAGAAGTATACATACATAGAAAATGAAAAGGCTCAGGTAGGTTAGTAGATAGATAAATAGATAATGAAAAGACAGGTAAGTAGATACAAAAGACTCAGATAGATAGATAGATAGATAGATAGATAGATAGATAGATAGATAGATAGATTAAAAGACAGATAAGTAGATACAAAAGGCTCAGATAGATAGATAGATAGATAGATAGATAGATAGATAATGAAAAGTCTCCGATAGATGATGAAGAGACTCAGAGAGATAGATAGATAGATAGATAGATAGATGGATGGATAAAAGACAGACAGACAGACAGATAGATAGATAGATAGATAGATAGATAGATAGATAATGAAGTCTCAGCTAGATTGGTATATAGTAAATAATGAAACGACTCAGATAATGAAAAAGCTCAGATAGATAGATAGATAATGAAAAGTCTCAGATAGATACATCGATAGATAAATGAAAAACTCAGATAGAGAGATAACTAGATACACAGATAAGTAAAAGACTCAGACAGACATTAGATAGGTAATGAAAGGTCTCAGATAACTAGCTAGATAGATAATGAAGACTCAGACAGATATTAAAAAATACTCAGGTAGATAGGTAAATAGATAGATAATGAAAAAGCTCAGATAGATAATGAAAAGTCTCTGCTAGATTGGTATATAGATAGATAATGAAACGACTCAGATAATGAAAAAGTTCAGATAGATAGATTATGAAAAGACTCAGATAGATAGAGAGTGAAAAGACACACACACACATATATATATATATATATATTTACCTAACGTGTTATTTCCTATTTTTCTATATATTTGCACCCCCATATATATATATATATATATATATATATATATATATATATATATATATATATATCCGATGCAATGAGAACGCAAGTTATATATAAATTCTAACGTTCACAGCATTAATCCACCTTTTTTTGTTTTATGTATATTTTTTCTCAAACAAATGAAAAATTTCACATACAGCTTGGCTGCAAGCAGAATTTTTCATAGCCATTTTCGGTTCTCACCCGTCGAAGTGCAGTTGAAATGCACCGAAACGAAGTTGCATCTTTGTAGTGAGTAAACTGTTTTTGTCTATATGATAAAATCATAATATATATATATATATATATATATATATATATATATATAGATAGATAGATAGATAGATAGATAGAAAGGTAGATAGATAGATAGGTAGCGAGATAGATAATGAAAAGTCTTAGTTGGATAGATAGAGCATTTAACTCACAAGACAACATGGCAAAACAAACTAGTGGATTAAAACGTTGGTTGGGTGACATAATAATTACGTGTTCAGTCTTTCGGCCTGACAGTGCATTGGAATTAATTCTACACAGTAACCCACAGCTGGTAATAGTAATATTATCCGTTTCCATTTAAGGAAATATTCGACATTCATTAAGTGAGCGGCCAGTGCTAATATCGGTTGAAATTTTCAAAATCTTAGCTCACACAACCCATTTTTCCTGTAGTGATGTGATTGATTTTGATTGTGTAGCGCCGGTCCACAATTTTGAACAAGGAAGGCCCTCGCTAACACCTACAACTTTCATTAGGTCGAAGACATTTCTTTTTTTATCTGCGAACTCAGCCGTATACAATTTATGCTTTAGATATTTCAGAATCTGTTTCGAGCCATTCATATGAAAACGAGGCCGTTTAAGAACATGATTTTTAGGTTAATCTCTTGGTTTTATAGTAAGCGGCGGTTTTGGGCGAAACTATTTCTATCACTCTCATTTAATGTTCAAATTCCTTATCACTAAGTTTGTTATAACGGATCCATACGCCCATGTATTTGAAGGGTTTAATGGTTACTAAGTTCACATCCCAAATATTTGCGAGCGATTCAAGTTAGGGGTCATCACTGCTTTCATCCAAATTCCAGACAGAGTTTCTTTTTTTTGGAAAGGTTCATCTCAAGTACCACTTCTTCGTATACTTGGGAGAGGAGGTTGATTTTTTTTGTTTAAGATCATTCTCATGCCAACTATGAATACTTATGTCATCAGCATAGCACCCGCCATCTTTTCCAAATTGGCCTCGGGAGGGGAAGTAGGAACACCGAAGTATATTCATTTGTAATGTAGTATGGAAGGCTAAAATGATCGTTGCCTACCTTTTTACATCTGTGATTGTATATGCGCAGAACATAGTCTAAGGAAAAGATTATATAGATTGGGGCTCTCATTACTTCCATGTCGTACTCTTGATGAATTTTGATACGTTTCTGTATTGGGATCTTCGTCAGATATATCATTTTATGAGCCGATATTCGAGGTATACAGTGAAACCAGAGCTTGGAAGACACTTAGTAATGGATGAAAAGAGGAGGAGGTCTCTTTTGATGTGGTCATATGCTGCCGTGAGGTCGATATAAACGGCATTCAATTTTTTATTGGAGTTGTTTGATAACACATATGCCTTTATTATACCCCTTACCCCAACGAAAATCAATATAAAACATTGATAAAACGACCATAGTTAATACAATGTTCATTAGTATTTTCCCCATAATGAATCTAATTGATATACCTCTGTATGTATGTGGATCTTGAAGTTAACGTTTTGTTTCCATGGTGAATTAATGAGCGAAACACCGCACTTTTTGGAGATACGTTTTTGATTTCAGTCTTCCTTTATGAAACTGAGAAAGTTATTGAAATCGAGGAGAAGGTAAGCCATTTTCAATAGTTCAACCTCAGTGTCAGGTGAAGCTTTATTATTTCTTAATTCTCTAATAGATTTCTTAAATGCATTATCATTAGTTTCGTTATTGTTTATGTTTGAAATTAGATTTTGCAATGATTGCATGTATATTGCTATATTTTGTTGTAGTCAGGGTTGAAATGTCACTGAAAACATCTTTTGAGACCAGGACATTTCTTCTGTGTTAGTTTAGATTCTATGATTTTTCGCTTTTCTCCACATCTCCGCAGATTGTTTATGCTGCTCGGCTTCATTAATTTGGTTTTAATTTTCTGGATATATTAGTTTCTCTGAGCATTAACTGGTTTTCTTTCTTTTCTTTGTTATTTTTTATTATTATTATTCTCCCTTCCAATTTTATTCCTCCTCTGTTTGTTTCTTTCTTGTATCAATATTTTTAACTCACGATTGTCATCCCACTATTTCTATGACAATTTCTCGGACATTCATGCCGGTAAGTGTTGTTAATACTGTTTATTATAAACAAAGCATTTACTTAAGTACTTGTATCTATAACAAAGAATATATAAACATAAAAATGTCTTAAAATAATTGTCGGACTTTGTCTATTTCATAAGCAATACTTTTCCTAAAGAATCTATAATGTGTTTTCTTCCTACTTTTTCAGATTTGAAAATTGTCTGTTGCCGCATTAGAAAAGACGAAATAATTTCTCCAGATAAGATACACACCTTGGTTACTTTTGAAACATTATCTTTGCGACAGTTCCAAACAACCTCAGGGTATCACGAAGGCAAGTTAAAGAGGTAAAATCTCAAAGGACGTAATAAGAATAGCTGTTGTGTCATTCTTTTTCTAAATAGAAACCTAAATAAAAGGCATACGGTCGTGTCAGGTTGAAATAGTGGTGCTGCTTCGATCACAGAAGTTAAGCAATGTTGAGTCTGGTCAGTACCTAGTGACCACTTAGGAATACCAGATGCTGTAATTTTGGATGTGCGGATGGTGTAATGGATAATGGCACGGAATTGGTAATCGAAGAATCGAGTTCCAGTTCACGTTGTGTTCGTTATGTTCACTTACACGCAAATAACCTTCGGAAAAACGAAAAATGAACGTTGTGTATATATATATATATATATATATATATATATATATATATGAGAAAATCTGATAGGAGTGTATTCATTTTAGGGCGTTACTGTAACACGTTAACAAGTTCGAATATATGTGAACGTGATAACGTTCTCACTATTTTAGCTTGGGGTATAAAGAAAGTCATAAAAATCTGTAAAATTGGTAGTTATAAGAAAGACCATGGTTTCTCAGGACTATTTGTATTAAGTCAGTGTCACGAATTTTAATGGATTCAAGCGATCAATTACGTTCATAAATCGAAAAAAAGATTTTTTTTTACTGAAACGAATCTTATATAGAAGCACTGATCTTACACAATTTTTAGATATTTATGAAAGACTTTTATGATGGCTTTTAAAATGATATATATATATATATATATATATATATATATATATATATATATATATATATATAAACCTAAAGAGCCAGGCAAACCTACCTAGGTTTCACTTAAACGGGTCGTCAGTGTAAAGCTGGCCAAAAGGTCAAACATAGAACAGAATATAGAGCTAAAACAAAAAACAACCATGATCACGTGATAAGAAAATACTAAAACCATAGTAAAACCCAACAACGGGGCTGAGGGGGTTAGGGGTTACGTTCTTTATTCACCAACGAAAAGAAAAAAGAATAAAACAACAAAGAAGTAAAAAAAAAACAAAAAAAAACTATTTTAATAACTTGAGTTTCCTATGTCTACACGTACTAAGATTTTCCGATTTTAGATTTAATAAATTATTAGGTTCTTTATAGCTAGCAAGAGCTAACTTTTCCTCTGTGCATAGGGAACGAAATTTATCACCTGCTTTATACCTGTGATATTTTTATTAATATTTCCCATTTCAAAATGGGGTCTTTATTATCCCCCTGCATGACTTTCCATACATAAAAGGACAAGGTGGTACTGAGTTTGTAAGTTTCGTTATTAAAACTATTAAGGTGGTTATAGTATCGTGCTTTAAAATTATTCTGGGTAGATCCTATGTAAACCTTGGGTATTTATCGGTATTGTTAGGTTTATCCTTATATATTTTTACTTGACTCTGAGCTTGAACTATGGACGATTGTTTTCACCTCAGTTTTATGGAATTAGTTCTTTTTATTCCTCATTTTTCCTTGGGTTTTTTTCTACTACGAGTTTTTCAAGCGAGTACCATTATTAATATATATATATATATATATATATATATATATATATATATATATATATATATATATATAAAACACTTAAAATCCTATGGGTTTGGATTTTACGTGTTTGATATTTATTAATTAATAATTTTGTTCTGTCTCTTCACATAGAGATCTCCCTGGGTCTATATCCTCTTGGAAATTCCATACGGATTACCATTTTCCATTATATATATATATATATATATATATATATATATAAGTGAACATTGAAGTCAGCACTCAGAGGCGACAGGCTGTTTCATGCTAGACGCAATCGTCAAGCTCGCGACGATTTATACCATAAATAGTACACCTTAAAACTATATTTCTT